ATACTAATATATATGTATATTTGACTATATGTATAACGATTATATGACAATAATATATTTATTTAATTTTTATTTTATTGAAAATACATTTATATTTTATACATTTATATTTTTTTATTGAATAATAAGGCCTGCGTCAATATACATTTCTAAGATTACATTATTCCCAAATTTTCAAAAAACAAAAATTTCTTAAAAAATTTCAAAAATTTCCATAATAACAAAAACTTTGATTCTTTTAAAATTTTGTCGTTCTTTTTTTTGGTGATAAGCTTTTGCCTAGTAACCCTTAGAAATAGAAACTGAATAGATTTAAAAAAATTCAAAATAATACTATGATCGAATAATAGAAAACCATTATAAACACACGAAAAAATTTTTTTATCGGTATAGAAAGGTGTAAGGTCTCTTTTGCGACATCTGTTTTCTAACTTAGGGAAAAGCCCCAAAGCAATAACACTTATCTTTGATTTTTAAAACCAGAAGACATTGACTTTAAAATTTTATGTATAGAAATTTAATACAATTTAATTTAAATTATTAATCTTTTAGGATTCACTAGAGTTCGTTACGGATATTTCCAAATTTGTTTTCCTAATAGTTTGATGCCCCAAAGTAACTATAAATTAATAATCAACTTACCCCATCAATGGCATGTTCAATATAGTATAAATGAACAGAAAATTTTTTTATAAGAATAAAGCAATTTAATTTGAACCTTTCTCCTGGGCTTCTCTTTGTAGGCATATATGAAAGCATGTCTTTTATATATTCATTATTCTCGAACCTTGAATAATGTCCTTAAGTAGAAAACACTATTTTCGCCATGGCATTCCTTGAAATTATATATTGTTCCTAAACTTATTTAAAACTTTTGTGAATCACCTACAATATTTATATGACTACATTTGAAGGACTTTACGCTAATTTTTAATGAAGAGAATCAGGACATACTTGTATTTATAATGTTCAGCGTACTACAAATATTGTCCATGCAGCTGCATAATAGTCCAATTTAAATTGAATACTTTCATTCCATGTAATGATTCTAGAAAATAGGGCAACATTTACATTATAAGTTCTGTACGTTAAGACGTTGCCTGTCTTCCCGTCTATGGTACGATCTAAGCTCAAAGCACGCTGTATTCTATCGAGATTAGTTTTCACACGTATACGATGAAGTTGTGTATATATGAAGAATTGGATTTGACCCATTGTTTTCAATTCTATCATTAAATACTCTGTAATAAATTAATATTCAAGTAATAAAATAATAAATTAATCGATTAATGCTATAAATTAATTAAGCCATTGCCATTAATTAAGCCCTTCTTTTAATATAATTGGTTCTCGAATCAAAACTAATTAAAATTAATTTTATTTTTTAAGGTTCATCAAAACAGTTTTAAAATGGCGCTATCCAAAATTGATACCGAAATGGATCAAGAGAAATATTTACGTGAGGCTACGCATCATTTTCGTGGCATTGAGAAACCGTTAAAATTTGGACCAGTCATACAAACATTACAAGATCTGATAGACGCACTGCATCATGAGTTCTCAACTAATTATGTTAATATTGAAATGGTTAATCATTTAATGCTCTCTTATCAATCGAAACCAAGAGAATGGAAGAAATTCGCAAAGTTCGATCGTTATAAATATACAAGAAATCTAGTTGATGCTGGTAATGGTAAATTCAACTTGATGATATTGTGCTGGGGTGAAGGACATAGCTCAGCTATACATGATCATGCCGATTCGCATTGTTTTATGAAAATGTTAAAAGGGGAATTGAAAGAGACCCGTTATGAAATGCCTAAAACCGTACATACATCAACTACAATTGAAGCTGATATTGGCAGAAATATTGAAGATGAAGAACATGATGAATTTGACAGTGCAGAATTACAGGAGACTGGACATAGTCAGATATTAACAAATGATGTTGCTTATATAAATGGTATGTGAAATATTTAAAAAATTAATTTATTATGAAATAAACTAATCTTTTTGTTTGGATTTTACAGATAATTTGGGTTTACATCGCGTTGAAAATCCCAGTCATTCCGACACATCAGTTTCTTTGCATTTATATTGTCCACCATTCAACTCATGTTCAGTGTTTCATAAAAATTCTGGAAAGAAAATATCCTGTTCTGTTACATTCTGGAGTAAATATGGTGTACGACAGAATAATCAAGAGTAAATAAGAAGAAGAGAATCCAAAGTTGTAGCAGTTAAGTCAACCTGTTTTTTGTTTGTTTTTCACATCGAAAATCATTTTACTTAACATTTAAGTTTAGTTTTTTTGTATTAATATATAAATTATGTATATTTAATGTGTATATGTATGTAAATAACGAATAAAATAAAGATATATCATATAAAATAGGGTCTTTACAATATTGTTTGCCGAAAATGAATGCATTTATTAGTTTTAAAAATTTAAATCCAATTTGTTGTTAATAATACAAAATATAAGCAATAACAGCAAATCTTTCAATGTAAGAAAATATGTGGAGTATGTCTATTTTTATTTTACGAAGTCCATTGATCAACCCATTGAATCAGCGTCTGGTCATTATTATCTGCAAGGAGTCCGTTAGATTAAAAAATATATATATTTAAAGTGTTCCAATTCATTGACTAGTTATGGTATACAATGTATCAATAAAATTGTCTTAATATTCTTGGAATATATAAGCCTAAAGAGAATATAGACTTAACGTCTTTAAACTCGTTCACTAGTTCTAATATATAAAAATTATCATCTTACCAGCAACGTTGTCTTAATATTATTAGGATCCATTAGCCTAAAATATTATACATTTAAAGTTTTTAAATTGATTATATACTCGTATCATAACTATATATAATATACCAATTTATCAGCAAATGTGTATTAATATCCTTGCGATCCATTTGCTGAATAGAGAATGCAATTTAATTTCTTAAACTTTTCGACTGGTTATAGTATCACAATTTACAAGTAAAGTTGTCTTAATATTCAAAATCAAAAATCCATAGGCTTCCTATATATAGAAAATTCAATAAGCTTTTTGTCCAATGTAAATGGTAATTGTTTTCACAGAATATTAGGGCAAATGTTCTTTTGAGTTGAATAAAACTATGCCCGTTTTAAATTGTTAGGTCCATTGGAAAGCACAGTTTCCATAGTTTTCAACATTGTCGGGATTAAACTAAGTTGCTTGTCTACACATTTCGTAGCGCACTTTTCAAATCGGGCTCGGAATTTCTCAAGCTCTGCTTCGTCCATAAATTTCGCAGCATTACCATGATTAGATACATTGCACTCCTTGAAAATATTTAAAGATCAGTAATTTACATTAATATATATAGTATACAATATAAAAAAAATTAAGCTATATATTACTAATCTAAATCAGATATAATATTCTTCTGAAAAACTATTTATATATCCCCAATTATAATTTTAGACAATTTCAGTTTATAGAAAAATATTAAATTACAAGACGAATACATGAGTTAGAATGTGGATGGGTATTGTTTGTGTAAGAGAAGAGGAGATTATTTTAGAGTGAGAATGGGTTGGAAGACCTCTATTGTTTTTGTGACCTGCTGGGACCTGTAAGCAGATAACATGAAACGATGTACAAGACGATGTAGACGGGTGGTGGTTAAAGGTAAGAAAAGGGGAATACAGAGAAGAAATCGTTATAGGTGGGTGAGATTTAAATTGAAGATTGACTCGAGTCCAGATGAAAAATTGAGAGATCCCTCTTCCTTGTTGCATTACTTTTACCGTTGACTTAGTATACGCATTCAGAATAGTTCCGTTTTCGTGTGAAAGCTGTATTTTCTGAAAAGCATCTTATTGCGAAATAAAATTAGTATTATTTAAAGGTCGATATATCCTACAAATATAAAATAGCAGATAAACTATTAGTAGTTTATCCAAGATACATAGTTTGCTATGATTTCGCTATTAACCACATTGATGATTAGGTGTTATATATAATGATAGTGCTGTTATCATTAGTGAGTCCGTTTCTTTTACAAGGAATGTTGTTGTTGTAGGCTACAAAAATCTGTTTGTATTGTCGCTTTTAGGATTATTGAACGGCGTTTAGTCATGTGGATCCCGGACACAAACCCGGCTATTTCCCATGAATAGATATTTGATGTGATAGACTACATTCAATTGGATTTAGGTCCACAATGTGTAGACTACATTCAATTGGATTTAGGTCCACAGTGTGTAGCTGATTACGTCGTTTATTTTACTATTTATAATTGTAATTTTTATATTTATATATTTTTTTTCTTACTTTTAACTTCTCGGGTTATTTTTAGTAAACAAAAAGTCCAACGAGGGATTAACATTTTGTTTCCAACCTCCCTATTTAAAACTAAATAATTTATGCAAATTTTCTACTGTCAAATTAATTAAAACAATCTTTAGAATCCTATAGAAAGCCTAATAAACATAGATTAATGCTCATAATATCCTCAACAGACTTAACAGCAGTATGCTAAAGATACATTGAGTAAATATGTATTAAATATATTACAAACCGCCACACAACTCTGCAACTGAGTTTGAAATTCTACAAATTCGGATTGCAAGTATTCCTGTGCACGTACTAATGGTCTGGTACATTTTTCTATACATTTAGAAACTGAATCAATGCTTCCATTTTCATCCTCACAACATTTGGCAGAGCAAACGTGCATTTCCATCTAAAAATGTTTATATTTTGTAAATAAGCAAATAAAGGAAATTAATAAAATTTATTACCTGTAACTGGCGTAGATTGGATTTGTATAATTTATCAACCATGCCAGCAAGTGCACGCTCCACACGCTTTCTTTGTAATTCAAGCATTTTTACGCACTCGAATTGACAGTAAAGGCGGTAAAAAATAAACTTGTACAAAAATTTTGAAACCAAATAATTATTTTTAACATTTGTATCAATTTTTAAAATGCTTTTTAATTTTTTTTTAAACAAATATATTTTTATATTAAAATTTAATTCAATAATTTTCAAATTTACTAGATTTTTCATGTTGTCTTTGTTTTTATAAAAATAAAAATATATAAATTAAACTTGAGGTATGCCTTCTGGACCTTTGGAGAGTACAGCTTTCATTGTTTTCATCATGCTTGGTATCAGGCCTACGTGTTTATCAACACATTTGATTGCACATCGTTCGAATTGATCTGTGTATTTTGAAACTTCATCTTCTGATGGATTTGGTGGCATTTTGACTTTCACATCATCATTGCATTGCTAACAAAATAAGAAAAGTATTAATAAAATTATAAGGAATATAAATATATTCTTTTATTTTAATTATAAACTTACCATTATACAGCGCTGTAGTCGCCCTTGGAATTCGCCCAATTCATGTTGTACATAGTTTTGCGCTCGTGTCAGTGGTGTTGAACATCTGTCAACACAGCGTTGTACACTCTCCAGAGAAGAATCCATGTCCTGGCAGCATTTAGCTGCACATAAATGCATATTTGTCTGTTAGAGAGTTGGTAAAGTGATCCATAATTTATCAAAGTAGCAAAGCAAATTTCTAAAATACCTGTAATTTACGTAAATGCGATTTGTCCATATCATCTATCATTTCCGTCATTGCATGTTCAATGCGTTGTCTTTGTTGGGCAATCATTTTTATTTCAAAATAATTAAATTACTTTATCTACCAGTTACACAATTTTCAAAATTATTACTTTCATTTGTTGAAAGCTGGACCGGTGTGGATTTAAGTGTCAAATTTGATAATAAGACAGGAAATAATTTGGTGTGTGTTTAGTGCATGAAACAGTCAAATGTAAATGTGCAAATAATTGTGTAGAATACGTTTATTATGCCATATTCCCACTGCACTTAAATAAACTTATAGTAATCAAATTAAGGCACGAAAGCTGTTTGTACGGTCAATGAGCGATCAAAATTAAAGAAATTCGAAATTCATATAAATTTGTGCTGTGTATAAACAGCTGATTGCAAACCGTATATAAAAAACTATTCGAAGTTAACATAAACATATTCCGCTCGGAAGCTATGGAGACTGTAAACACTTCATGTGGACTCTGAATATACACGAACATTCGATTTTAAGCACGTCACTTAATTAATAATAAGTCTAGAGTAAAACTCAAGTAAAACACAAGTAAATTTTGCACGAAAATTTGCTGGTGAAACGCATTTGTGTATACACAGTGTTATTCAAAGTTACTACGAGTAGCTCGTGAAACAGACCTAATATTAATACAACCCCAATTAATCAGGCAGTCAAAATTAAAATTTATTTTAAATTAGTAAAAATTAATTGGAAAAATTTAAAATTGTATACATTGATTATATTTATTACATGCAATGTTATAAGTATAATTTATATACACAAATAAATATAAGGTCTGTTCCACGAGCTACTCATAGTAAAACATGAGTAAAACAGAAGTAAAATTTACACAAAAATACTTAAAAATTTGCTGATGGAACGCGCTTGTGTATACACAGTATTTACTCAAAGTTACTATGAGTAGCTCGTGGAACAGATCTATAGTTTTGTAATTTCTACACAGAACAATGTAAATAAAAACATATGATTATAAAGTTAGTTATTTTGGATTGACAATTTCAAAATAAATAGTAAATAAAATTAATCATCACAGTTCTTGCTTTTAATATTTTTAATTTTTTTATTAAAGCCTAGTACTAACATCCATTTGACACAAAACTTCATCTAAGAATTACCGAATTTGAAATTGTGGATAACTTTTACATGAAGTCTTATGAACATTTTTCTTTCGAGATGAATATACTAGGCTTTACATCAAAAGGAACAACATAAGTGATGACAATAATTAGATTGCCTGCGTAGCATAGCTCATAGATAGTTAATTCCAAAATAACTAATTAAATTTAGCGGTGTGAATAGAGCTTTCATGTTTTTATTCATTGTACAACGCTAAACTTTTTAAACTCAAATTTGGTTTGACTGAACGCACCCAGCACAGCTGTTATTTTGTCAATATAACCTTAAAAATATTAATACTGCAAATTATTTAACTTATTTAAAATGTCTTTTCTCTGTAAAATAAATAAATTATCAATTAATCACATAAAATTAATAAATCCGTACAGTAAAAATATTTGTAGACTACTTAGTGATAACGTCAATACAGAAACTGAATCAACAACATCAAATGTAAAAGGAGGATTTGCTCGTGCATTTGAAAAATACACATCGCCAGCAGTAGAAGAAAAACCAGCGGAAACAAGAACATTTGCATCACTTTTAAGACATTCAAAGTTTATAGATGTATGTTTTATCTATTTTATTAAGAAATTTAATATTAAAGTTATTTTATTTTAGCTAGGTGATCCTGAGGGCAAAATAGTAAGCGGTAAAATATTTCATGTCGTTGATGACGACTTATATATAGATTTTGGTTGGAAATTCCATTGTGTATGCACTAGGCCAGCACGTAATGGATCGTACGTATATGCCTAAAGTTATTATTTAGATTTTTATACTAATTATAAATTTTTATAGTGAATATGTGCGAGGTGCTCGTGTACGCATAAGAATTAAAGATTTAGAATTATCAACCAAATTCTTAGGTTCTAATAAAGATTTGACGATTTTAGAAGCTGATTGTCAATTACTTGGTTTAATAAAACCTGTAAAACAAGATACACAAAAAATTACAGCAGAATAATTTTCAAATAAATAATTACAATTTTGCTTACAAAAACATTGTGTAAGTTTATTAAACAAACTTTTAACATTAAATTTCTTTTGTTTTTAATAGTAATTTAAAACTTGTTAGTTTGTAAAAAAGATAACTTAAAACTAATTAGTTTATTAAAAAGGCAATTTAACTATAGGATTGTATCCAAACAGCAGTATTTTCTATATTCACAATGTAAAATTATTGCTTTTGAGGATTTGTACTATTTATGTCTTCGGAATTGTCCAGTAAGCATTGGAAGACTTCATAATGATGATTGATTTCCTTAACGGCATGCAGTTTGAAACGAGTTACTAGTGCGCCATTTGAAGACGTATGTATGAAAAATATTCGCTTTGCTCTGCTATGTACCAATGCCATAGCACACATTAAACACGGCTCGTGGGTTAGGTACACATCATAACCAGTACATAAGTATGGTCCATATTTTGCTAAATTATCGATTGCATTATCTATATTATCTTGTTCTTGCATACAATCTGCAACTTTTGCAGTTCGGGGTGGTTCCCCACCTAAGAGTATATCAAAAAATTGTTCATGTTCTTTAATAAAATTATAATATTTATTGTCAATTCCGTTTAGCATTAGTTTATTAAAGTCCTTACAATTTTCTTCATTTGATGTGCGAAGATTTTTTAATTTTGTACACCAAGCACCACCTTCTTGTGTCTTTGCTACTAAATCTATTAATACCATAGGACAATGCATAACAGAGCTTAAATCTGTTTTACTGGCTGTTAAGGCAACTATTGAATTTGTGCGTGGATCAATACAAATACCAAACGGTTTATTTTGTTCCAAGACGTTGGATAGTGTTAAAATTAGATTTGTCATTTTGGTATGAAAATTTTTTTGCGTTATTGTAAAATTAGTGCCATCATAGAGTGATTCCATATATTTGTCAGGATGAAATTTGCATGGCCATAATTTATGCATGACTGTGTATTGCATACGTAATTTTGTGGCGGCACCGGGAACTTTAATTTTTTTAACATTGTCAATAATATTTGCAATTATATCAGGACTTAATTTCGCATTCTGTAGGTATGTTTTTAGTGGCAACTCGGCAAGATCATTAGATTTGCATATAATAATATTATTTTGATTAACACGTTTAAGATGTTGCAGCGTTGTCAGTGGTAGCAATTCGGCTAATTGTTTCATAATAACTGATATTTGTTTTTTATTATTCACTTGGCATATATAAACACTTTCCAATGGTTGGTTTAAATTATATGCATCCGATAATATAGCTTTTATTTTCACATTTAGATTTTGTTGTAATCTGGAACGTTTTGCACTTGGTTCCATAATGAAACATTAGTTTGTTGATTTACTTATTAAAATTTGTTGTGAAAGTTAGATTATAATTTTAAGAACTATATATAATTTGCTGTTTTAATGTGTAAACAAAGTTGTTAAAGCGTTTATTGACTAATCGTACGCTAAACTCATATCAGCTGTTACGAACAGGTGTATCGATAATGCAGTGCTCGTTATAAATTGTGAATTTTAACTACAAACGCAACTAACTTAACGTTGGAAGAACGACGAGAAGACAGAAAATTTTTTCCTGCTATTGTTTGTATTTCTCCACGGCCGTTCAATCGTATACATGAATTATCTAAAATGTTTAAGTGAATAAAACAAACGATTGTAATATAGAAAATTTTCGATTGTAGATTGTAGAATAAAGTGTATAATTTTTGTTTAATATAAATGAATTAACTTTATAATGAATACGGTTGAAATATTATGGTAGTAAAAAAAAAAAAGAAATACCCCACGCAGTGTACTTCGTGATTAGTAAATGAAATGGAATTGTACTTAAAGTGTTCACTACAACAAATTGTTTATTAATAAATATAGTAAAAGTGTAAAATTAAGTTTAAATTATAAGAAAAATGTTATAATCTATATGTTTAACATCCATTTCAAGCTACAAACCACCCCATAGTGTATTTATGTACGTAGTGAGTGAGTCAATTTACAATTTACAACATCCACCACCAGCGCCAGCAATAATATTTGAACAGAAAATCTGTGTACTACAACCAACCTCACCCCTCTCTTGGTAGGAGTAGATATAGTGCACTTTACTGTGGTTTGTTTTAAAAAACAATATAGTAGAATATAAAAATATTGGTTTTAAATTTGCAACAACCACGACTCCGTAACATTGCTTCAAAAACAAGGCTGCTATAATGTCGGACATGGAATATTCAGACAACGACGATTATGATGACTACTACAATTCAGGTAGGTGCTGCACTTGTGCTTCTTTTTTTTTTGTACTTCGTATTTGTGTCTCCGCACAAGTGTTTATATATATACATTTATATATATTATTAAAATATAAATATGTTTTTATTATTAATTGATTACAAATTATTTGCTTTAAATAATTTATATTATTTAGAAAATTCTATGATTCATTTGTTCGTTTATAGATAACTCTATAACAATAAGGTCTAGAACATGATATACACAAGTGTGTCTTCAAAACGATATAATTATGAGATATTAATATTCAATACTATCCCATAAAATTAAAATAAATATCAGTTTTCATTGCAATCGCAATAAATCAGCAAATATTTAAAGTAAACTGCATTTTTCTTTGTTTTTTGTTTTTTCTTTTTACATTTTAAAATTAATTCTCATTTTAAAATGTTTATATAAAAACACTTGCCTCAATAAAAGTGGTTTTCATTAAAATGCATGCATGACATATTGCACTGACAAATATGTATATAGCTTTATATATATATATTATCTCTATATGTGCATATCACTTAATTTCTCAGAAGTTCGTGCTCAGCTGTTTTCTGGCAAAGAATACTTCATAATCTCTTCAATTTGTTGTAATTATTATAAATTCTTTTAAATATATATATGTATCTTGACATATTTATATATATATATATATAAATATGGTTTTATATAATATGCAAATATTATAAGTTTTTTTTCTTCATAAAAATAAATAGAAAAAGACAGAAACAGATGGGTCTAAAGCAATATGATATAGGAAGATCTGTATTGTTATATTTTGTTGTTATATTTAATAAATAATTAAATAAAATACAAAAAAACAGATTACAAGAACAGATTATTCAACAGATAAATTATTAATTATAATCTGTTTTCAAAATAAACAAAAAAATATAGAATGAATCAATTCAGTTTTAAAGGCACCTAGTCAAATTGACATACTAATACCGCGCCTTGACTATAATTAAATATATCTATAATCTATATCTGTAAACTATTGTGGAAAATTAAAAAAAAAATATAAGAAAATCACTTCAGTTTTGAATGTATCTAGTTAAATTACTTACTAATACCGCCTCTTGACTATAATCAAAAAAGGGGCTTAAAAATGTATTTGTCAAATACAGCTTTCAAGAAATTTTTCGAGTTTAGAGACTATATAAGCATAATTCATCACAAACATAGCCAATATGGAAAAAATCCAAATTAACATGAACATGCTCCAGTTTATCAGAAACGATAATCTTACTAAGTAGAGTCTGAAAAGTAGTAGGAAAAGTAGTGGTAGTATCGATAAGCCATTGATCAATAGGAATCATATTTTAGAACTTCTTTGCACAAGACTTTATAAGCATTATCCGTCATAAACATATCGAATATGTGAATAATTAAAACTAACATGACATTACTATAATTCATCGGAAATGAAGATTCTACTGAACAGAATTATAAGCGAAGTAGAAAAACTAATATAAGTGTTCATAAGTTAATGGCTAGTAGGCATCGGGTTTAGGTCCTTTTTTTTTGTACGTGACTATATAAGCACAAATATATTGAATATGCGGGGATAATTCAGGCTAACATTACAGTGCTACAACTTATCGGGAACGGTAATCCTGCTGAGCAGAGTCTGAACCGTAGTAGGAAAAGTAGTAATATGATTAATAACCGATTGGTTAGTGGATAAAGCGCAGATCCTTTTTTACACGAGACTATAATAGTATGATCCGTAAAAATATGTTACAATAATATATGAGAAAGTCAAACGAACATAAACATGCAACAGCTTAACAGGAACGAAAATTCTATTAAGCAAAGTCAGAAGTGAAGTAAAAAAAATAATGATGGTATTGATAAGCCATTAGTTAGTAAGCATCTATACCCAAAAATTAGGTAACAACGGGTCAGAACCCGTTTGTAGCCCTAATTAGAAGAGACACTTACTATGGCTCTTATTGCTAAAGTTCTGCTTTTCAACACTTATTTCAAGGAAAGACGTCAAATAGATCAATAAGTCTCTGAGCTAGGCAAGCAGTTTAAGTCGGGTTTGCTCTTAAAGTTAGAATCATTATTTATAATGGGTTATTACCAAACCGAAGAACAACAACAACACTGTAGTATATTAATGCTATATCTGTGGTTTTAAGAACGGGCGAGCCTACATCTCAGAGTCACCCGACTGGGATGTACGACGACCAAATGCCGATATCTGCGGGCTACAATAACAACAGCAGGGCTATATCTGTAAATGATCACTAGATTTCAAAATAATACTATATTAAGTAAAATAATACTAGAAAAAGTAAGAATAAAGTATTAATCTAAATACTAAATCCATTAAATCTGTGATTTCGTCTATTTCTGGACAAATTAGCATTAAATTTGGAGATCAACATAACGCACAATCTACACACACATATGTATAGCTAGCCGCAAATCAGCTTGCCAACTTTAGATCAGAGCTGGTTATAATTAGAGCTGCCTGAATAATGAATTTTTCCCTCAGTGATTAGCACCAAAACAAAATAATTCCATAGTTAGAAATCTTACTTTGATGAATAATATATAAATAAGTAAATAGGTACAATTGTTATTTATATATGCATAGTATCATAATTATTTTTAACATCGGGTTGATGTGGGTTCGAGTTTCTTTCACAGTATTTAGTCTTGATTTAGTAATTTGGAGTGTTAATGAGTTTAGTTTAGGTCTTGTACTGCGCCTCGTCATCGATTTTGTGGTTTTCCTGTTTTTCTGTGGTTTTATCTTTTTGGATAACGTAATCAAGCCATCATACAATGGTAATAGGTTGATAGTAGAGGTTGGTTGTTACATGGGAGTTAATATGATTTTTAGGTCATTAGTATTGAGTTAAATCTGTTTAAGTGACACTACTTCTGTTCTTGGTAAAATAAAGAAAGCAACCAATTTAGTGCATTGATAACCACTGTTTTCTTCTTAAGTTGGAAAAAGAATCACGCAAACCCAGCATTCGCTAAAAAAGTCTTAAGGCCATTCTTCTGATTGTCATATTCTTGATTTCTGACGTTGGATTGTTAAATTGTTATCAATTTCAAAGCAAACTTTTTATCTTGAATAAGCGCAAAGTTCTCAACTTAGCTCTAATGTATATATGAAACCATTAACAAAAATAATAATAACGGAAACAGCGGCAAAATGTAAACAGTTATAGAATGTCTAAGAATAAAATAATCTTAAATAAAATTAAAAGGAATAATATCAGAAAATAAGGATATAATTTATATAGAAATTTTGTTAAACATTTTTTATTTTTATTTTAAGTAATAGGCTATTAAAACACCCTGACCTAAAAGATCTATTGTGCGCCTAAAGGCCCAACTAGGACAATTTTAGACTACTTATAAATCTTGTAATTGCTGTGGGCTTAATTTTACCTATTTGACTTGGGACTAATATCCCGCTTCCAAGGTAATCGAGTCTACGTCTTGCCACCGCTGGGCAGTTGCATTGAACATGTTCTGATGTTTCCTTCTCCTCATTGTTAAACATACATATTCAATCATATCAGATAAATATAATATTATCATTACTTGGACACATTACCTTTTTGTTAATAAATTCTTCATACAAAAAGTTATATATGTATATATAATGTAGTAATAAACATTTTCGAAAGTGCTAGCTAACAGCTGCTAGCACAACTCAATACTGGGTTTCGGCCTGACATAGCATGTCTCCCTAGGCGCTTCTGTTCCGTGCGCATCTTCTCCAATCTCCACTTAATCAAACCATAGAATATACGGTCTAACTTTACGCTTCCACTTTCCATAATCATCTATTTTCACGGCATCACTAAAATAGCGAAACTGCTGTATGTTAATTTGCTGAAATATATGAATGTAGTGAAAATGCTCTTTGGGCTTGTGGTTCATTCGGATGCGATAGTTTTCGTCAACTTGTAGAGGATCAGAGATCTTACGAAGAACTTTTCTATCAAATACTTCCAATGCTGCTTTATGATTTTGTGATAACGTCTGCGCCATACCCAC